ATTTTAAGCATTATTTGTTGATTCTTTGAATTTTATTGATGAATATAATGCATTTTAATCATTCTACCTCCAACAGAGGCCTGCAACTCCTCCTGCTTCCAAACACATCCATCCAGTGTCCATGGTCATGGTGTCTCTCCATAGCAATAGAAACCTAACTAACTCACTGACTTCCCATAACATTGGTGCTGTGGGATTCCTTCCTTTTATTGCTACACTGCAAACCCACCAGCATCAAGGATCTCCAGGTGAAATTTACAATCTGTAAATGCAGAGTAAAACTGTTGAAATTCGTGATCGAATTTACATCCTTTTAAACAGAATTATCTTCTTTTGTAACATATTCTAATTGCAGATTTCACCTTATTGAATCTAAAAAGATATTTATTTTCTGGTATTATCACTGTAAGAACAATTTTGTTGAGCACTGATCACTTGGCAGTCTTGGAAGCCTTCAACATCAAGGAACCAAGAAGTGCAACCCAAGAGAAAAAGAACTGCTCAGTTACAAGGCTCTCCTCAGGGGGAATCTTGCAAAAATACCTCACTGAAATGTCCTTGGTCACCTAAATCAAAGGAGATCACAATTACACACAAAAGGCTCTATGATGTCATCCCCCTTCCTTAAAGAGAAAATAGCTCAGGCATACCTTATAAGAATGACATAATATTTACCTCCATGTATGGTGATACTTTATTTGTACTGAAATGTGATTTTATTTGCATGTTAATAAATAAAGTTGCCTGGGGTCAGAGCTAATAGCAAGCCATAGAAGAAGCTGGGCGGTGGTGGTGCACGTCTTTAATCCCAGCTCTTGGGAGGCAGAGCTAGGCGGATCTGTGTATGTTCAAGGATACAGCCAGCACGGAGACACACGCGTTTAGTTAATCTCAATACCAACTATAGAAGACCTAGAGGTCTGTACAAACAGGCAGTGACAAGGAGGTCATGTGGTTGGGTTTAAAACCAATGAGAAGGCAGAATAGAAAGTCTATAAAAAAGACAAACATCCAGTGTCATTGTCACAAAGGAAAATGAACATCAGTTACCATTTAATTTCTCCTCATAAACTATGGTCATTCTTTACTTGTAAACATTGGCAATCATGGAGTATGTCTATAGGGGTTATTTGCTGTGGAGTTACCTTCTGTACCATTGAATGGTTCCAAACTGCCATGTTTTTTTACTTCTCATGTATGTATATATGTATGTATTTGTCTATGTATGGATGGGATGGATGGGTAGATAATGTGTTTATGTATATTTTAAAAATCATTTATCTCCCTCCTCCCTTGTTGTCAAGCTGTCAGTCAGTTGTCATATTTTACTTCTGTCAGTGAGCCTGCCTTTCTCACACTGCTAGTCAGCTGTCAGCTGACATATCAGATAAACAAAACCTCTGAAACTGAATTAGCAATTGGTGCTCAGTGGTATTGCCGAGACTTGGATATATGAAATAGAGTTCTTCTCTAACTATATATATCCAGGAATGTAATAGCCAGAATATTTCATCCAAATACTAATGTAGGGTGTGTGTGTGTGTGTGTGTGTGTGTGTGTGTGTGTGTGTGTGTGTGTGTATAGAGGGAAAAGGAGGAAGGGAGAGAAGAAGTGTGTGTGTGTGTGTGTGTGTGTGTGTGTGTGTGTGTGTGTGTGTGTATTTGTATTTGTATGTGTATGTATGTGTAGGGGGGAAAGGAAAGAAAAGGGTGTGTGTGTGTGTTTGTATAGGGGTGAAGGAGGGAAGAAGAGAAGGGGTATGTGAGTGTGTGTGTGTGTATATAGTAGGGGAAGGTAAAGAGAGGTATGTGTGTATAGAGAGTAAAGAAAGGAGGGAGACAAAAAGAGAGGAGGAGAAGGAGGGAGAGGGAGAAGGGACCAAAGAAACAGAAAAAGACACAAAGTGATATTTCATCAAACTTGAATCCTAAATTGCTGTCTACCAGAAAAATACATACAGAACTTTTCTGCCAGTCTTCAAGGTAGACTATTCCTAGATCAGTGGTTAGGACCCAACCATTCCTTTTAGCCCATCACTATTTCCTTAGTAACTCCCAACACACCTGCAGAAAAAACCTCTACTATGGGCCCCACAGCCAACTGGCTGTGACTCAGACTAGGCAACAAAAACCAAACAGTGGAACAACCACCTACTAAAGGCAATACTAGATACAACATCAAGTATACCTCAAATGTTCAAACTCCAGATGCCTAGACTGCAGAGCAAAGACACAAACATGAAAAAGCAATACATTATACCTCCTCCAACAACCAACAACCTTGATGGAATAGGCCTTGAGAAAAGCAATTTAGCTTAAGCACAAGACAGTGACTGCAGAATAGCAATTATAAATATATTCAAGGACCTTAAAGAGGTTATGAATAAATGCCTTAACAGTTGAAGGAATTAATGAAAACAATTTAAGACATGAATGTAGAATTTAACAGAAAAATAGAATCATGAAGAAAAATACAAACTTAAATACAACTCTAAATAAAAAATTCAGGATGTCAAGTATCAAATACAGAGGTAAGCCTCACAATCAGATTAAAAGACAGATATGTGAATTTAAGGTCTTGAAAACAAAGTAGAAGAAACGAGTTGCTCACTCAAGGAAAATGTTAAATATGAAAAATTCCAGGCAAAAAAAAAATCTAAGAAATCTTGAAGACTAAGGAAGATATACTGGTGTAAAAGTGGCACAATTGTTATACCAGTAATCAACAACTTGGGGGTTGAATTTAAGGGGCCAAGAATATGACAAAAGATAGGTCATGGGCCATAGAGTTAAACCTACTACATTATTCTGCTGAAAAAGCACAGCAATAAAATGTCACCCATAGACCAATACATTGCTCAGCCCTCATCACAGAATGTACTTCTTACAATAGATGGAAATTAACACAGAGACCCACAACTGTACAATGTTCAGGTAGTGAAAGACTTTGGAGCACACAGCTCTAAATGGAATGTCTTTATCAAACCCTTCCCCTCAAAACTCAGGGACCTATGGGCTAGAAGAGAGGGAAAGAGTATAAGAACCAGAGGTGGTGGATAACTTCAAGGAAATAGCATCCTCCACACACAACAGAATTTATGTGTGTGTGTGTGTGTGTGTGTGTGTGTGTGTGTGTGTGTGTGTGTATGTGTGTATGTGTATACTAAAAGATTTTGACAGCACACAAGTTCAAACCAGAATAAAATTTCAGCATCGAAAAGGGAGTAGACACAAAGTCCTACCCCTTCCCAAGAAGCTATTTCCAATTGATAACCTGCTGGAAAAAGAAAAATCAGTTTTCTCCAATGCAATAACATTGAATATATCAACCATATTCCAAGGGATACTAGTGTTTTTTGTTTTGTTTGGGGATTTATTTATTTATATATTTATTTATTCTCTCATTCATTTTTATCTTGGTGGTTTTTATTTGTTTTGATTCTTTCATTTTGAGAAAGAGAGACAAAGAGAGAACATGAAGTTCAGGAAAAATCTGAGAGACGTAGGGGGAAGGTAAATAATGTGATCAAACTATATTATATAAAACTTTTTAAAATAAAATTTAAAAATTAGCCGGGTGGTGGTGGCGCACGCCTTTAATCCCAGCACTCGGGAGGCAGAGCCAGGAGGATCTCTGTGAGTTCGAGGCCAGCCTGGGCTACCAAGTGAGTTCCAGGAGAGGCGCAAAGCTACACAGAGAAACCCTGTCTCGAAAAACCAAAAAAAAAAAAAAAAAAAAATTTAAAAGTTAGATAATGAGTATTACTCTACAACAAAATCTGGGTCAACTGAAGAGTGCAGAAAGTGTACTATGGATATAAAGTCATTTCAGATATAGAGTAGAAAAACTTGAAGATGTTTCTTTTATTTTTAAGATTATAATATAATTACATCAGTCCTCCCTTTTTGTTGCTTCAAACCCTCCCACATGCCACTCTTCACTCTCTTTCAAATTCACAGCCTCCCTTTTCATTAATTATTATTACATACATATAGGTATATGTGTAAACTGCCTCAACATGAGCTGAACAAAGACATGCAAGTGAATGGGAGAAAGTCCTTGAGGCTTAAACACTACACAAACAACTATAGACAACTAAGGAATGCTCAGAGTGGGAGAAATTGTCATCCCCAGGAAAGAACACAACTGGCTATCCATTATTAAACGGTCAGCCCTGAAAACATACATAAAACAAGTAACATTATAAAGACTAAGCTATTCTAAAATGCCTTTTAAGGATGCAATTACAAAACACCAGTGTCCTAAGCTATTGTAAGTCCCAGTGAAGAAAACTTTCTACTCACTAGGGAGAAATAATCCTAGTGGCAGTAAATATAGGTTTTTCTAAGTTTAATTGTAAATGACAAAAAATTCTAGACTGTTCCCTTTACACCACATCATTCGCTCTAATTCAAGGTGAGCCTGGTAACATGGGTTATAAAAGAGCCCTGAATAACAAAGAAAAAGAACATTTAGTACTTCTGCAACCCAATGTGGAAGGTTTAGTTCATTTTTAAGATAACACAAACTATGAAAATGAAGAAGAAAAAGAAGCCTAAGGAACTAGAATGGGAAATTAAAATCATTGAGAAAATGATATTGAATACTGATTTATTTAAAGGAGTTACTGTTATACATTATAAATACCAGGCCTACCCTAGATGCAAAAGTTGAGGAACATGCTTGGCAATTACTTCCATAACACAACAATCAAAACAAAAAAGAAATAAAACAGTAAGTGCTACAATCCTAAGTGTCCTAGTTTGATAAACAAATAAATAAGAGTAAAGAAACAAAAAATTCAATACCTAGACTAATGATTCACTGATAAGATGGATATGAGATCATCAAAAGTTTATATAATCACATTATGGAGAGATATAACTCAGTTATCTATTTAACTATACTTATACTGAAAAGTTAAAGTTAGGAAAAATAATTTCAATTTCTATACACTTGATTTAAGATAAAATGTCAAAAACAGAGTCAAACACACTGACCTGCTTACATCAGGAAACCTGATGGGAAAATAAATAACCTGACACTTGGGTCTGATTATGCTTTCCAGATCCTTAGGTCTATGATCAGGAATCAGCTTCAGGAATTTTCCAATGGAAGTAAGAAACGATTCCATATTAAAAAAGGAATTGAATACCACCACATCAGCCACCAAACTGTAAAGAGAAAAGGCAAATGAAAATGATTAAGAGTTATTTTATAAGCCTAAGACCTCTGCATACTAATCAGACTTTCTTTTGTACCTCAGGTTTGCAAAGAGCAGCTAACAAAAATATCAGTTCTTAGTAGTCTATCATAAATGGTTGGGTTGATGGCTTCACAGAAGACAGACCAGAGAAAAATTAGATAGTTGAATAACATCAAATAAGACTTCAAACTAATGCCTAGTTCCCATAGTTCATGAACTTTCCACATTATCAGTACCAAGCACAGCAGGCCCAACCATGTCTCTAAGTAGTCAACTATGAAAGACAGCTGTACAGCTTCCTCCCAATCTCTGAGGAAACTAAATCCCATGAGGCTACTCCTATGGGGTCACAATATCTTCAGCACTATTCAGTTAAAGTCCATTTCTAGTTTTAGCCCTTTTTTGAAGAAATGTTATTTTTTTTTTAAGTTCTGGTACTACATGGCATCTCTAAATAATTTATTTCAGTATTGTAGTATGCTTAGGACAGTCATGGAAGTAAAAAAAAAATAGTGAAATACATCTAGATATCCATATTACTAGGATTTATTACATTTATTACTTATATAGATGATCAAAATTATTGATCTTTAGAAATAAACAAAAGAAATATAATAGTGATGATTGATTTTGACAAACTGACTGTCTTTCTTCAATATTTTTAAAATACAAAACATTTTTTAAAGAAAATGTGAAAGCAGGTTTTAGATCTCACACACACACACACACACACACACACACACACACACACACACACACACACAAATATACCAGTAATTTTCTTAATTTCTATTATATTGCCTTCAACACCAATGAATGCCAATGGTAGCTATGGATATGCTGGATAAAACCTAGATGTGTAAGATGAACAAAAATTGATTTAGTAAGCTCTGACTCTTGAAAATGTCTTTGATGACTACTTGGTTTTCAACTTTATACACCTGCAAAGAAGGAACTTCAGCTGAAGAATCGGCCCCCAACAGACTGGCCATGAACATTGTTTGCATGGCATTTCCTTGATTACTAATTGTTCCTGGGAGGGTGCAGCCCACTGTGGGTGCTGCCATCCCAAGGCAGGTGGGCCTGGGCTATGTAAAAGGGGGCCTGGGAGCAAGCCATTGAGCAGTATTCCTCAGTTTCTACTTCAAGTTAGAGGTGTTTCTCTGAATTTACTAATGATGGATTGTGACTGGTAAGAGAAGATAAACCCTTTTCTTCCCAAGTTGCTTTTACTCATGATGTTTATCACAGAACATCTTATTTGTTTTACCATCCACTCAGTATTACTGGACAATTCCATAAGAAGATAAACATGACAAAAGTTAGCTTTATTTCATCCTAAAAAATAAGACTGGGAAAAAAAGTATGAATGTCCATAAGGCTATAAAAAACATCATAACAAGTAGAGCTTCTAGATAAAATACAAATGCCACAGCTAATCCTTGGCTTAGTTTAAAACATACTTACCAAGACAAGCAGGTCTGCTATTATTAGTACACAAAAGAACACCCGATCAAAGACACACGGACTTGCCAATTCTATGCTTCCTCTAAAACTGCTTTTGCCTGTGTGGTTTTTTGTTTTTTGTTTTTTTTTCCAGCTCCTACCTGGTGAAAATTTGGGGAATGGAGGCAATACTAACACAGATAACACAAAGGAATATCACAGAAGTGCTGACACCAAGCTAAGCAGTAAGGAAGCCAATACTATACCATACTAAAAGTTGAAGAATGTTTCACAGCTAGTCTGTTTGCACCGTTTGTCATAGATTGTAATAGTGACCAGCAGGTTATAATGTATAGTCACAGCATGTGTTCCTAAGAAAGAGGGCTAGTGGAACCTCTGTCTAAGGTAATGGCTTATAATGTATAGTTATAGCATGTGTTCCTGAGTCAGAGGGCTAGTGGAACCTCTGTCTAAGGTGATGGCTTATGTCAGTTACTTTAAAATCCTCAACTGCCACCCAGTCCAGAAAGAAAGCTGACAGGGCCAGCAAAAGCAGAAGTCAGCAAGAACACTGAAGAAGAATTTCAAGAAGAAGCTGTTCTTTTCGAAGAAATTGGAACAGGACTGCTTTCTGACATTCTTATTTTTCCTCTGGACAACTGTGAAATATTCTTTTTCCAATTATGAAGCCAAATCATGATGTAGTCCAGTTATTTCTCCACAAGCTTGTCTATCAGCTTATCCTCTTGAAAGGAGAAATGATGAAAAATCATACGCAAGTTTTCATTCTCTCTCCTTATGATGAAAAACAATCATTTGTAAAGGAGAAGAGGAGCAGTGAGCTATTTTTTAAATTTAATATCTGCCTGAAATAGGCACACCACCCAAATACTATTAATCTAAAATGGTCTATGTTGTTAAAGATTCACATTGTCTAAAGAAATATACTTTTTACATATTTCCTCCCTAATATGAGTGGGTGTAACTTCCATTAACTTTAAGGCCACACATAAAGGGAAAAATATTTAATTACTCCCTTGTGGTTTCACAGGGTAATAAAACCATAGTATCTGAAAAATAAAATGGTACAAATTTATGGAATCACAAGAATATTACTAATGTTTTACATATTGATAAAAGTACAAGGGAATTTCATTTTCATATTTTTAAGTATATAAAAATTTACTTTTATGTTCATTGGTGTTTTGCCTGCATGTATGTCTAAGAGGGGGTGTCAGAGTTCTGGAACTCGAGTTACAGAGAGGTGAGAACTGCCATGTGGGTGCTGTAACTGAGCCAGTGCTCTCAACCTATGAGCCATCTCTCCAGTCCCTCATTTTCATTTTGAAAACTTATTTTCCTGTTGCCATTTCGAGATGAAGTATTTCAATTTGAAAATGGTTGCTTTTTATGAGACATTTGACCGCAGCAGTTCTACTGTTTGGATAGCACTGCTCCCTCACAATCTCAGCAGCTTGTAAAAACAAATGCAGAAAAACCTTGACAACATGCTCAAAACAAGTAGTACCATTAGAGCTGTTTTTCTATGTCAACTAAACTAAGGAACAGACTAGCAAGGTTTGTTCAAACACTTTCTCAATCTCTGTAGCTAATAACTACTTAATAAAGGTGTGTAACATGTATGCAATCACTCTCAAATTGATTCCATGTGTCTCATGCAGTGATGCAAAAGGATTCTGCAGAAAAGCTGGTATAGGGTTGCTAAGGAACTTCTTTCAGTAAGTACCAAGAGAAACACTGTATTGGAGTAACAATAGAGAAGGCCTTCACCTTTGAAATGGCAGGTATTTTCAGACTGTCATTTCAGAAGATTCAGTGGGAGGAGGGATGAGAAACACTGAAACATTCACATTCCATTTTTTACAGTTTCTGTCTTAAGAGCAACAAAATAATCAAGCCAAAAATAAAGCAAACAAAAAAGTAGGAGCTACAAAAACCTTTTATCTGTTGAATTTTAACTTCTCTACTAAATTTAGCTGAATACAGTGAAAGTAGTTGATAAAAGAACTTTCTGGGTTTTCTACAATTCAAATAAAAGTCAAGGAATTAAGGGGTAAAGATCCTTGTCAACAGTTTATATTCTATTTTGAATGTTATATAAAACATAAGATAACTAGTTCAAGATATAACTAGATGATTAGTCTATGTATGTGTGTGTGTGTGTGCGCGCGTGTATGTGTATTTCAAAAATTGAATAGCAGTGTTATTACAAATCCTGCTGAAATACAAATAATTAATATTATGGAAAAAAATCGTCAAACACCTGTACCTGCCTTAATATGCTTATAGATTTATAGTGTTCTCCACATTTACAATCTAACCATCTACAAAGAAAAATATGGGGACTGGAAAGATAGATCATCAGTAAAAAGAAACTGCTTCAAAATCATGAGGACTCAAGCTCAAACTCAAGCACCCACATAGCAAACTGAACAACTCTGGTACTTGCTAGTTTCAAGTCTAGCAGAGAAAAATAGAAACCTTGGATTTAGGGAGAGACCCTGTCTCAAAAGAACAGGCAGAGAACGACAGAAGGCACCCATCGCCCTCTTCTGGCCTGTGTGTATGCATCCCCCACCCCCATAAATCTGTTTTGAGAAAAGTAGGAGAAAGATGGCAAAGACCAAATCTTATACAATCTATACCTACCATGAGAGAATTTGGTTGTATCCATACTGAAAATCCCTCTCTTGATATTTCTTGACAGGATATATCAACTGGTTTTCATGGAAATACAAGATCTTCTTCAGTTTGCCCAGATCAGGCCGAAGGGCAGCCAGTTCAGTCAGGTTAAGTACTGAGCTTGCGAAGAGGGTCCTAAGAAAGAAATAAAGGTTTACTATTCTAAACATGCTTGAAGGGCCACCCTTTGCCCTTCTCCTCTCCCCTTTCTTCCCACCCCAAGACACACATATCCCTATAGGGACACATAAATGCTTGACATAGTGCCATGCGGAAGCAGTCCCAGTTCTGACCTCTTAAAAAGCAACTGCTAAGAACTATAAAAGTCCTGGTTTCATTGGTCTCAGCTCAGCTCAGTTTCTGAGGGACAGGAAGAAGAAAAAGAATGGAAATTGGCTGGATTTTATAAAAAGGCAAGAAAAGTTCTATCTGAAGGACAAAAGAAATAAAGGACAGGCTGGATGGGGAATACATCTGCTTGCCACTTTCACTGCAACCAACAACTGAAATTCAGTACACAAGCAGGATCAGTCCATGTTCATGTTTTGACAAAACTTCTTTTAATTTATGCAATACACTTATGTAGTGTGGTCTTTTCTGTTGGCATGTGTGCTCAATGCCCCCTTTAAAGTATCCTATAATCCTTAGACTAAGAAGAAAATCTTTTTTCCTCTATTACTAGACTGCTAATGGCTGGCACTAGATATGTAAAACCCCTTATAAAAACCAAATAAAAAAAGATAAAAGGTTGATTGTAGAAAAAAACTGGAAGTTTATCTATCCATGTTTATAAATAAATCAAAATACTTATTTGCTCTCACTCTGCATTTAGTTAAATGCCTATTGTGTGATAAAGAAAGTTGAGAAGAACAGAAAATATTGATCAAGACAGGCCAGAAGGATGACTACTGACTTTTATGGAGTCATACACACAGCATTAGAGGAACAAACAAAAAGGGAGTACTAAGAGATTTAGACAGTCTGGAAAGGGCTCCCTGATGAGATGCCTACCACATACAGAGACAAAAATGGACAGCACCTGGACAGCTGGGAACATTCAGATAACCCTTCCAGCTTAATTCTAAAAAGTTGAGTGCAGAAAAATTGAGTGTTCTCTACAACCACACTAGGAGTCAGTGCCAAAGCAAAAACCACTGAACTGTTTTCATTGCACCACAGTTACTATGGCTGGAGGGAGACTTACTATACAAATACTTCTGTTGGTCTAGACTTAAATACGAAATACCATCCTTGTTATTCAAATGATTACTCTGACTATAAACCCCCTTGTTGACAAGAAAATGATTAACTTGATGTGTTCACATAATCTGCAGCACTAGCCTTTCACACAAAAGGCATGGTTATTACTAAGTATTTATAGCATAAACCGGAATTCAGTTTGACTGAATTCGATGTGTGCTATTCACTGTCCTCTTTTGAGTTTTGATGAGTTCTATATGTTAAAGTGACAGATTTTGAGGAATATTATTAAGTAAAAGAAAAAATTTATTTAACATTCCACAAAAAAGCAAATCTATCATCTTAGATATTCTCCAGCCAAACTGTTAACTTTGATATAGGAAGATTTCCCCCAGCATGCCAATGATTTTTCAGTCTTCATAATTTGACACTGCAATACCATTTCCTTTAGTGTGCTTAATCATTAAGAAATTAATTATATCTCATAACAAATGCTAAAACAGCATTCCTTTATCTCTATCTACTAGTTAAGTATTTCTCTGTTTTTTCACTGGTAAAGTGCTAAATTGAACAGGCAATTCTTTGGATCTTTAGCTCTACAACCCAAAGTAATGAAAATGCCCACAAAACGAATGCAGCTAGCTATACTCCACAGAATTTTTTTTGCTTTGGTTCAAACTACCAATTTTTGAAAGTTGATCATTAGACAATGAAAGGCATCATTCAGTCAGGAGCTACCTCTCAGCTACCAATGCTCATCTTGCCTCAGGTACCATTTAAGAAATAAAGCTTCATAAGATATACTTTATCATCCCACAGTGGGACTCTGGCAGGAAAGGGCATAAGGTGAGAACAAAAACCACTAGGAACAAGATAATTTCTGACAGCTGCTGCTTGAGCACAAGTTAAATTAAACAGTTTATCTCAGCAGGAAGATCTTATAAGGTTTTATGCTTAATATTTTTAAATTAACATAAAGCCCAGAGAAAGCAGTTGGGCAATCGTTCATAAACATGACATACTACAATCATTGTATAAGCTGGATTAGTACTTATTATAGGGCTACTACAGAATTAAGCTGTTTTTAAACCACCAAAGAGCTTTAAATTGCAACTTTTATCTCTGTAAAAGAAACCTATATTTAAAATGTCTACAGAATTCAAATTAACAGATACTTCATTAGCTTACCACTTTGCCCAAGTACAAATAAGTTGCTATCATAATTGTTTAACCAACATGGCTCAATGCTATAAGCACATGAATATAAGTTCAGAGATTTGGAATTGTGTCCATATACGTGCTTTCATTGTTTCATGCCTGCAAGGAAATTTAAAATAAAGGAATTTATTCTTTTCTGTTCAGCTTGAATAAAAGGCACATATATGTCACTCTCTTTGCTTAATGTATAAAGAAAATGCTGAAATTTGCCTATAAGCATGATCTTTGAGATGCTATTTTTTGCATCTTTGATAGTATGGATATTCAGTGACAAATAGAGCAGAGGGCTTATACTCATTGTCATGGCCACCACACATGAACTCTAGTGAACTTTGTTTTCTCTAGCTTGACCCACAAAATCTTCTCAGCAGTATACTCTATACTTGCAATTACTGACTACATAAGGAAACAAGACTGAATAGAGATACCAGTTTGGCTGTGTCATTCATTATTTTTTTTAAGCAAACATTTTATTACAGATAACTCAAGAATAAATTGCAACCCAGCATGTTTGATTTACCAGGACTTAGTTTATTTTTTATTATTTCTAATTTTAAAAATTTTTTAAAGATTATAACATAATTCCATCATTCCCTCTTCTGTTTACTCCCTCCAAATCCTCCCATGAACTCCTACCCTTGCTCCCTTTTAAATTCACATCCTCTTTTTCTTCGTTGTTACATACATATGTGTATACAGACATGCATATTCCTAAATGCATTTTTAAATAAAATTCATATAGCTTCAGTAGACCTTTGACAAAAAGCAAATTCTTCCATCTGTGTTATTTTAGTAAACACCTAACTCTTAGATATGATTCCTATACTCCATATCGTTACTAAAGTTTGTTCTTTTCTTCCATCTTTTAGGCTCTGGCTATTTGATAGCCACTCCCCAGCATTATGCATTTAAGTTCTGAGTACTTATCTGTCGTGATGGAGAAAAACTAAAACCGTACTGTCAACATACGACCAGCCAAATATAGTGAAGAGTACTTACCAGCACATAAAACTGATTTGACGTGACTAAGTTGAATAGCCTTATTTGACCAGTGGCTGTATTATCTAAATGGGTCATCTTTCTCTAAACTAATACTCCTTCATTCATGCTTACTTAGCTGACTTTCCTAAACAGACTCTTGACTTCCATGGTAAAAATCAAATTTATAAGTTCATATTAATTAGTTCAATTTCATCTATTGAACTATCCAATTCTGGAATGGGACAATGCAGGGTTCCCCCTTACACTCTTGATGATTAATAAGATATATCCTAGAAAAAAATGTTTTAAATACTAAATTACAAAGATCACCTATTATCACTCCAAAAAGAGCTTCATCCACCAAGTATCACTCACCTATTTTTTGCAAGGTTGTAAACTCAATGATGGGTGTATGACAGAGAACAAAAGGAGACTAAGAAGAAAATAACTAGCTTGACTGAATGGAGACCAAGGACAATGCAGCTCAGTTTGGACAAAGGTGAGACTGAAAAGGTGCATGGACCTTGGAAAGACACAAACACAATCCTCTATTTTATGGACAGAACAAGAGACTGAAAGATTTTAAGAAGAAAAAGGATTTGGGTTTTTCATTCTTCTCAGTTTTCAGTAAGTATAAATAACTGTTTGCAGAGTTTTTATTTTATGCTCTTAACCCTTAACAGCACATTGCTTTACCATATTAAAAAGTACTTCTCGAAAAGCATGGTATTGTATGATTGTAATCCTAGCATTCAGGAGGCAGAAAAAGGACTACAAGATTGAGGGCAACTTGGGCTTCATAGTGAGTCTGAGGCAGCCTAGACAATATAGCAAGAAATTGTCCTATGGAAAAAAAACAACAACAACTAAAGTATGATTTTTAGTTACATTTACTGACTAACTAGAGCAATGTTTTTTATATTCAGGTACCTAATATATGTTGAGTTGCCTTTGTATTATCAGTTATTATTATGATTATTACTTTAATTACACATTTTACAAAAAAAATTAAGATTACTTCATATACCAGACAACTTTTCTACTGTAGCGAATCATGAGAGGACAGAAAGAAGACAAAGTAAATAAACAAACAAACAACCAAAAGCCAGCAACTGTGGTGAAGATTCCTTGATTAGAGTGATGTCAAATGGTGAGGCTGGAAGAGAGGAACATGAAAGGAAGAGAGCGACTATGAGATGACAAGAAAAGGGCAAGAGTGGTTATGAAAAGTAAAGGGGAGCTTCAAGTCATGTTGTTCTGCATCTACACCCTTCGCCACCTCTTCAGTGCGATTTTTAATCATCTGAAATTAGAATGAACTCACTATTTTTATGTCAATGATACTCATTATCATCTATGCTGGGAAATAGAACATAAATTATATAAAGAACCATATTGATATGAAGAACTTTATTCCTCTCATTCATCACATAATTCTTGAGTGACTGGACTACAGGACTGCTGGCAAAGATTGCCAAAGACATGCATTCCAGCAGCGCCTATTCCAATGAAGAAGTCAACCTACTGAAATCTCAAGAAAGTGAACAGACACTGGGCTAGAAAAGAACGGCTGATATTGAGAATGATAAAAGAAACATGCCTAGCTTGCTTACTGAAAGGCAAAGACCACCTATGACTCAAAGGTTTCTAGCTTGCATAAGCAGATAGGTAGTGGTGACATTACTAAACACAAGGATCAAAACAAATCATAGGGTGAATTAGTACATAAATATGAA